GCCCCACCAGCCCAGCATTAGGGCACTAGAGGTGGAAAAGGAGGAAGAGATATTGTCCAGTCCCTTCATTCCTCTGCTAATTCATGCCTCCTTCCATTCCTACAACAGATCTTAATTAAGCTCTCATTATAAACTATATAAAGGGGTCTAACAAAGCCCCTGTCCTCTTGGGGCTTTATCCCAGAAGGGGAGATGGACAATAATCAGGTAAATGTATTGTGGCCTGAACTCTGTGCCCCCAAAAGTTCATATGTTGGGGTTCTGACCCTCAGTGCCTTGGAATTTGACTATATTTGGAGATAGGGTCTTTAAAGAGATAATTAAATATAAATGATGTCATAGGATGGGCCCTAATCCAATATGTCTGGTGCCCTCACGAGAAGAGGAGGTTAGGACGTAGACACAGACAGAGGGACGACTATGTGAGGACACAGGGGGACGACGGCCATCCATAAGCCAAGGAGAGAGGCCTCAGAAGAAACTAACTCTGCCAACGTGTTGGTCTGAGACTTCCAGCCTCCAGAACCGTGAGACAACAAATTTTTGTTGTTTATCAGCCTCCCGGTCTGTGGGACTTTGTTACGGCAGCCTTGGCGAACGAAAGCATACATAAATACATAATTGCAGGTAGTAATCCATTCTACGAAGAAAAATAAGGCAAAGTAGAGACACAGCGGGTAATGGGTCTACATCAGACAAGGTGATCAACCCTGGTCTCTCTGAGGAGGTGATACCAGATCGGAGACTTAAATGGTATGAAGAAATAAGACAGGAGAAGACCTTGTGGAAGAATGTTCCATGCTGAGGGGAGAGCAGTGCCAAATGCCGTGAGGCAGGAATGAGCCTGGAGTGTCCGAGGAAGTGCAGAGAGGCCGATGTGGCCAGAAGAAAGAGAGCAAGTAGTAAGAGACGAAGTCTCATGTAGCTGGGAGCCAGGCCACGTAAGACCTTGGAGCCGTGTTATCCTAGTGGTAGCAATTAATTGGTGGCTTTTGATCCATATAGGAACCACATAGGAATGATTTATGGTTTAAAAATATCATTAACCTCAAAACAAGGGGCAGGTAGGATTTGGCCGTGGGCTGTAGTTGGCGATCCCTGGCCTTGACATACTAGCTTCCTGCCAAGAATCTAACCAAATGCTCTCACGTCCCATCTCTTCCATGAGATCTTATGAGGTAGATGATATTATTATCCTCACTTTACAATGGGAAAATTGAAGCCTAGAGAGGTGGAGCTGGGTTTGAGCCCAGCCAGCTCCACTCCATACACTATTCTTGTAGGCATGTCGCTATACCTCCTCCTCGATCGAGCCTGACTTCCTTTGTATGACCTAGAAGCATCCATGTGTGACCAGAAGAGACCAGTGATCTGGCCCCTGTCTACTTCTTCAGCCTCCTATCAAGCTGCATTTCCTATCCTGTAGTAGTATGGAGAAAGACTTCTTTTGGGTCTTTTTTTTTTTTTTTGGTGAGGAAGATTGTCCCTGATCTAACGTCTGTTGCCAATCTTCCTCTTTTTGCTTGAGGAAGATTGTCCCTGAGCTAACATCTGTGCCAATCTTCCTCTACTTTGCATATGGGACACCACCACAGCACGGCTTGAGGAGCAGTGTGTAGGTTCGCGCCCCAGATCCAAACCTGCAAATCCTGGGCTGCCAAAATGAAGTGAGTGAACCCAACCACTATGCCACCAGGCAAGCACCTCTTTCAGGTCTTTAAATGCACCGAATTCTTTCAAGCCTGGAGACCTCTATGCTCCTTGGAATAATTTTCTTCTTGCCCCTCCCTGAGCCTGCCTTACAGATCCTCATTCTTTGCATCACTCCTTAATTTACACTTCTTCTGAGAGCCTCCCCTGACTGCCACCACTTAAGTCCACATGGGGTCTCCCTGTTAATACATTTTCCTCTTACTCTTTTCTTTTCATTTATAGCATTTATCACAGTTGGTAATTACTAATTTATGTTAATTTACATACATATTGTTTATTTGTCTAATTTCTATCTCCCCACTCCAGACCATAAGTCCATGAGGGCAGGAAACTTGTCTTTCTCATATCTCTAAAAAATAGAACAACATCTGACATATGTATTTTATGGAAAGAAGCAGTATATGCTGAACACAACCTTTTATCTGGGGAGACCTCAAAAACCTAACCTGGCCAGTCCCTGACGCCCAGTATAATCCTAGTAATTAGGGCATTGCATCTACCCCTCACTTTCATCTCGTTTTGCAGTTTGCAGAACATTTTCAGGCACAAGACTTTCCTCAAACACTTTTACATCCACACCTTCATGGCAACCCCAGGAATCACACAGGCATGAGTTCAATATTAACACCAGCACCAAATTCCTACCAAGCCGTAAATTCCATGAGAACGGGAATCCTCTTAACTTTACTCATCATTCTATCCCCAGTGGTCCCTAGCATAGCATCTAACACTTACTAGATATTAGAGACAGACTTATTGAATGAATGGGTGGACAGACAGATAGAAAAATAGATGGATAGAGGGAGAGAGGGAGGAAGGGAAGACGGATGGAAAAAAAGGAAGGTAAAAGGGAAGAGAAGGAGGAGGGAAGGAGGAAGGGAGGGAATTGATGGATCAATGGAAGCATGGATGGATGGATGGATGGATGGGTGAATGGATGGATGGATGGATGGATTAGTGGATGGTTATATGTATGTATGGATGGATGGATAGATGCATGAATAGGATACATGGATGATAGGATGTATATATGTATGTATGGATGACAGAATGGCAGGATGGATGGATGGATGGATGGATAGATGGGATGGATACTTGATAAATGGATGCTTGAATGAGTGAGTTCATGGATATGAAAAGATTTAAGCCCAGAGATAGAGAAAAAGATTTGCCCATGATTACACAGCTCTTAAGAAGTTGGGACTCCAACCCAGATCTTTTGATTCCCTGGTCCATCTTTTACACCAGTACCCTCCTTACGCTCCATGCTCCAGCTGCACTGGCTTTATTTCTGATTCTCAAAGTCACCAAGCTCTTTCTGGCTTGGCTACTTATACTTTGACTTTAAGTGTCACCTCCTCTAGGAAGCCCTCTTTAATTCTCTGCTTTAAATCAAGTGCTCTCATCATACGCTCTCATAGAACTCTGCTTTTCCTTCATAGCACTTACTGCAGCTTGTAATTGTGGGAAGATTTGTGCTATTTCTGTATCCTTAACTAGATAATAATGTCCATAAGGGAAGGCACTTTTCTGTCTTGTACACTCTTACAATATTACATATACATGCATGTATACCATGCATATATGTATTGGGTGTAATGTGTCTGTGTGTGTATCAGTGAATTAAATGAACTAATGAATAAATGAATGAAAGGTAAGAGGATGACTGAATTTTCCCCTTTATTTAGGAAGATCTCTAAGGCAACAAAACCATAGTAAGAATGTGATCGTTATCCTTTCCCATTCACGTGTGCTCTTGAACACTCATATGTCTCCCAGCCTTATCTTGCGCCTGGCCTCTACTTCATTTGTTAATTAATGCTACCATGTACATTTGTGCAAGCCTTGCCCTGATTTACGCCCTGATCTTTGTTCTGTTCCTCAGAGTTTCCAACTCTTTTACAGCCTTCATACATGCTGTTCCATCACCACTATTACCACTACCATTATCATCAGTACCACCATTACTATCATCACCAGCATCATCACCATCATCACTACCATCACGACCACCACCACCATCACCAGCATTACCACCACCACCAGCACCAGCATCACCACCACTGCCACTACAACTAACATCACAATGTTGCCACCACCACTGTCACCACCATACTTTGACTGGATAATTCCTATTTATCCTTCAATTATCAACTTAAGTGTCACTTTCTTGGAGAGTCTCTCTGGCATGCCCCCACACCACATTGTGTACCCTTAATGTACTTTATCATAACTCTCATCACAATTATTGTTGAATTATTATATTGTAATTACTAGTTATTGTCTATCTCTGCCATAATCTAGGCTCTGTATATACATGTGCAGTGCAGACACAGTGTCTGTCTTATTAATCTCATATCTCCAGCCCTTAGTGCAGTGCCTGGAACATAGTAGGTGCTTAGTAAATACACAAAGGATAAATAACTGAAGTTTATATAATCAGTGACCTCTCTGTCCACCTTAGAAAACAACTTATCCAGTGAGAACTACATTTCACAAGCTGTATCATATTTTTGGACCTTCAACTCCAATGATGCAGCAGTTCTGGCAGACCCCAGCTCTAAATCTAAAAGAAAGTTGGAGATCTTTCAGTCCACAGCCAGCAACAGGGCTTGGAACTCTCTCATATTTGAGCCTACTACAGCCCTTGTGCTTCCTAGCATGCAATAGTGCTTGGGGACCCCAGGTTCAAATTTAAATTCCCAATCAACAACAGGGTTTATAACTCTCTCATCTTTGAGACTAGCCCTTGGGCTTCCTCCAATCCCAGCATGCAACAGTGCTTGAAGAGCCCACCTCCCAGCATGCAACAATCCTTGGAGACCCTGGGTCCAAATCTAAAACAGTGTTTGGAGACCCTCCAATCCCCAAGCAACAACAGAGCTTGGATTTCTCCCATCTCTGAGCCTACCTTGGGCTTCTCCCAACTCCCAGTGTGCCACTGTGCTTGGAGATCTGACCTCCCAGCATGCAACAGTACTTGGAGATCCTACTTCCCAGCATGCAACTGTGCTTGGAGACCCCACCTCCCAGCATGCAACAATCCTTGGAGATCCTCAGTCTAAATCTAAAACAGTGTTTGGAGACCCTCCAATCCCCAAGCAACAATAGAGCTTGGAATTCTCCCATCTTTTGAGCCCACTATAACCCACTATAATCCCTGGGCTTCCTCTAACTCCCAGCATGCTAACAGTGCTTGAAGATCCGACCTCCCAGCATGCAACAGTGCCTGGAGATCCGACTTCCCAGCATGCAATGTCCTCAGTCTCCAGGCTCTCAACCCTCACCTGAGAGGCCAAAGCAGATGGCTCCAACTCGGAGCAGGAACTCTGCACCTTTACTGAGCACCATGATGATACAGAGGCAGCCCAGGGCCATGACTGCCAGGCCTACCACTGCTATCACCGCAGCCGCCAGACTCACCTCTGCGAGGGGGGGAAGGGGAAGAAGTAGAGAGCATGGGATGTGGAAGCAGAAAGAACTCCCCTATAGGGACCCAGAACCAGGAAGATGGAAGATGCAGAACTAGAGAAGAACTTTCAAGTAGAAGGTCATCCAGTCCAATATTTTACTTATACTGTTGAAGGAACTAAGACTCAGAGAAGGTCAGTTATTTGCCTAAGGTCACAGAGCAATAAGGGGACTGAGCCAGGATTAGGAGGAGATGGGAACTACCAATTATTACTTATGAGCTGCTCACCATTTGTTTGCAGGCGAGGAAACTGAGGCAGTGGCTGTGTGGGCAACAACAGGGAAGGTGGTATGTTACAGTGGGATGATCCAAGTCAGAATTCCCCCCAGCCACTTCCTAGCGGGAACATTTTAGTAAAGCCAGTGAACCTCTCTGAGCCTTAATTCCCTCCTCTAGAAAATCAGGATCAAAATTCCTATTGGACTGGGCCTTTGTGAGGATTAGAAATCATATATGTAAAGTGCCGGGTGCAGTGCTTGGCACACAGCAGTTGCTCCAAACGTGTGCACTAAGATTATTTTACTCTCCCAAAGGGGCAGAGCGTCTTGCCCAAGCTCACTTAGCACAAAGACAAGAGAGAAAACAGTGGGCAGGGTAAGAACCACTGTTTGTTGAGAACCTACTACGTGCCAGGCTCCACACTATGTTTTAGCTGCATCATCTCACTTAATCCTTACAAAGACCAGGTAAGATTGATCACAATTCTTTTCCTGGCGGGGATATGGAGATACCAGGGTGATGGAGAGGCTGCGGTTAGAGCAGAAAGGGTAGAGTCTCAAGGGTTGTGTCGTCCAGTGTGGTCTCCATGAGTCATATGTGGCCTTTTAATTTTAAATGGATTTAAATTAAACAAAATTAAGAACTTAGTTTCTCAATTACACCAGCCATACTCCAAGTGCTCAGCAGCCACATGAGGCCAGTGGCTACCATATCAGTCAGCGCAGACATAAAACATTTCTTTCCCTTTCCACAGAAGATTCTGTAGGAGAGCGCTGCTTTAGAGTCAGAATTATTTAGGTTTGAGTTCTGTCTCTGCCTCTGCCACTTCCTGGGAAAAACAAATTTAACCATTTATGGACTTTCGTTGTCTCAGTTGGAAGATTAAGATAAAGCCCCTTCCTGGCAGGGTCACGCAAGGACCAGAGCTCTTATAAATGAAAAATCCAGCGCTAGGCTTAGCATGTAGTAGATACACCTTTGTGAGATGTTAAAGCACTATCCACAGAGAGGGGCTGTGGCTTGCCCAAAGTCACACAGCAGATGGCAAAGGCAAAGCTCGGGTAGGGGTGCTGAGCACCGGGCTCTGGAGAACCATAACCCTAATGCCAACACCTCTCAAAGATGAGGCCTCCCCAGGACAAAGCAGAGAGGATGACAACGCTATCAGGAACTCCTCTGGCATGGTCAGTGTATCCCCACCACCACCTCATTGGGGGGTGAAAAGTTCTCACCTTTCTTTGTGGTTCTCTGGAAAACGTGTGCATTCTCCCCCGTGGTGAAGAATTTAAAATAGGTGCAGTTTGCTTCTGTGGGAGCAGGAGAGAGAGAAAGGGAGGTAATGACTGGGAGCTCTCTAGTGTAAGCTCAGGGTGGGACATCAAACATACCTCACATAGCCTAAAAATATGACATTAGCACCCCTGATATATAGAGGAGAGAAATATGCTCAGAGAAGTAAAAGCCACCAGCCACCACACAGCTATCCAGGGGCTGGGATTCTAATGCAGAGCTCTGAGGCCCAGATCTGCTGCTGGGAGTGGGCTGTTGACCTCTCTGGGCCTCTGATTCTCCCTCTATAAAATGAGAGAATAGTCTCTTTCTCGGCTCGGTCATATGGGTTTGTTGAGGGTCAAGTGGAATTAGAAATGGACAATTACTCTATTCAACAAAGGACACCAAGATACAAGCAACAGAAGGCCAACAGACGCAGAAGAGATTCTTATCTCAGAAAGGATTCCTGCCTGGAATACACAAAGAACTCCTGCGGATCAGCAAGAAAAGAGAGGTAATCCAATTGAAAAATGGGCAAAGGCTATGAATAGTCAATTCCTAGAAGAGGAAGCCTGGATGACTCACAAGTACAAGAAGAGATGCTCCACCTCACCAGGGATCACAGAAATGCAACTTAAGTCAGCGGGGTGGTGCCACTTTACATCAATTAGATTGGTAAATATTAAAAGGACGATATCAAGCACTGGAAGGATAAGAGGAAACAGCTGGGAGCATAAACTGGTACCAATCTTTTTGGAAAGCCCTCTGACATACTTCATGAAATGAAGTATGTTTACTCCCTATAACCCAACAATTTCACTTCTGGGTATACATCTAGAAAAAAAATTACATACAGGAATGTATATGTGGATGTTCATTGCAGCATCGTTTATAACAACAGGGAGTTGGAACCAACCTAGGTGTCCATCTCTAGGGGAACAGACAAGTAGATGTGATGGATGCTCCCTGTGCAAATCTCTGCAGTACATGATAGCCACAAATTAGAATAACAGAAAGCAGCACAGCAAGATTTGAGAAACACAGTATTGAGCAAAAAAAAATGTTTTAAAAATCAAAAAAAATCAAAAACAAGGAAAAATCTATAGCATGATGTCATTTATGTAAATTAACAACACACATATATATAAAGTAACACTACATATTTTCCGAGTTAAAATACATATTCATGGAGGCATATCAAGCACATTAAAGAGATGAGTTAGGAAGGAATAAAAAAAAGAATAATAATGTAAAATAAAGCACAAGAAGGATCTTGCAAAGGCTGGGGTCAGAGACAAGAAGAGATAAGACAGATAAACTGAAGGGTATGATTCGTCCAACTTTGTGTACGTGAGGTCCAAGAAATCCTGAACTAAAAAATATTTAAAAAGCACTTCTAAACTGCATTTTAAAGCCAGAATTTCCCACAGAATTCACCTAGTCCAACTTTCTCATTCTACAGATGGGGAAACTGAGGCACAGAAAGGGAGGAGAGACAAAGAAAATAAGAGGGGTGAAAGAAATAGAGGAGGGGCCAGACAGTCTGGGGAAGTGAAAAAGAGTTTTCCAAATTGAAGCAGGATGTGGAGGGACTAGAGATAAACTGCTGAGTCAGGTGAGGTGGTGTGGGACACTCCACCTGGTATTGTCTGGGAAGGAGAGGGCATGAAATGTCCCGTTAGGAGCAGCAGAAGGTGGGAGTCCTTATCCCGGGGCAGCCATCTTGCAGCGGCAAGAAGTAAATGAAGCGTCATGCAGCAGAGCGAAGGGTGAGGATGCTATCTGTAGCAGTCAGTGTGGGAAATGTCGTCTTCATCCACGAGGGAAACGTGAAGTCCCATCTAGAGAGTAAGAAGATGTGGTACATCTTTCTGGGAGAGTGTGGGGTGTCTGGCATCCCATTTTGCCTACTAATGATTTAGGACATCTTGTCCCTGACCACAGAGGATATGGTATATCCCATTTGGAAAAGAGTAGGACATGGGTCATCCCCTTGCAGTCCCTTGGGATGTCCTTTGATGGGCAGTGGGATATTTCTGAGATAATAAAAATTGGGAAATGTCTTCTGAAGGGTCGGGATTGTGGGATGATGGTGATGGTCCTGTAAAGAAGCTGAAGTCCTTTCTGACCAATAGGGGGACCTCCAGGAATGTGACAGACCCCATATTACCCAGTGAGGTGGGGCGCGACATCCCCGCAGTGCAGCGAGGACCTTTGGAACACCTTCATGGACTAGTGAGATGCAATATAGCATAGTTGCTAAGAACAGACATAACCAGGGTTCAAAGCCCACATGACTAGCCTGGATGCATAGACTGAGCCACTTACATCTCTTGCTCCTCATTTTCCTCTTTTGTAGAATGAGGAAGATAATAACTATTTGTAGGATTGCTATGAAGATTAATGAGTTAATGTATGTGAAATGCTTAAAACAGACCCAGGCACTACATAAGTACCTGATATTTTTATTACCGGAGTATCCCACTTTGCAAAAGTTTGGGAACTCTTGCTTGAGGTCCTGAGGGATGAGAACGAGCTCATTTGCAGAAGTGAAATGTAATCTGGATGCTGAGTGGATAGGTGCCTCAGAGAACAAAGAGTACTTGGCATCCCACTTTGCTGTTGAGGGCTTGGGACATCCTACTTTGGACCCTATGGATATAAGAATCACATCCGGAGAAACGAAGCAGGGAAATCCCATCTGGAGCCCAGGGGGATACTGAGATTGTAGGATATCCTTTGGAGAGTAAAGAGTGTTGGAGATTTCATATGGGTGATCAAGCTTAAGACAACCTGAAGGGCCCTGAGGGGTGTCAGATAGTTCCCTTGGGTCAGTAGAGGTGGAGTGAGATCCCTTTCCCGTTCCCAAGGGGTATAGGATATCCCACTGGTATGTCCCAAAGGGCATGGTGTGCCCTGTCAGGGAGAGTGAGAGGTATAGGATAGCTCTCTGGCATAGCTAGGGGTGAAACAGCCACTCTCTGGGAAGGTGAGGCATGTGGGGTGTCTAAGAGAAAATGAGAAGGGCTGGAGCATCCAGTGTGGGCATTCATCGGTGAGAGGGACAGGAAATGAAGAAGAACATTTCCCGGAAAGCACGAGGTCTGCCCTGGGACGTGGGGAAGTGCTTGAAGGGAGCTTCATTTGGCAGAATCAGTAGGTGGGAACAGGCTGGCTGTGCTTGTGCATAGGGGCACAGGTTGTCTGTGGGCATGCGCACGGAGGCACAGGCTGTCTGTGGACATGCACACAAAGGGCACAGGCTGTCTGTGGACATGCACACGGAGACACACACTGTCTGTGGACATGCACATGGAGGCACGGACTGCATCTGCACAGGGGCACAGGCTGTATTTGGGCATGCGCACAGGGGGCAAAGGCTGTCTGTGCGTGTGCACGGGGAGCACAGGCTGTCTGTGCTCGACGTGCACACAGAGGAACAGGCTGTCTCTGGCCATGCGCATGGAGGCACATGCTGTCTGTGGACATGCCCACAGAGGCACAGGCTGTGCATGTGCACAGGGGCACAGGTTGTCTTTGGGCATGCACACAGGGGGCACAGGCTGTCTGTGGGCATGCACACGGGGGCACAGGCTGTCTGTGGGCATGCACACGGGGGCACAGGCTGTCTGTGGGCATGCACACGGGGGCACAGGCTGTCTGTGGGCATGCACACATGGGCACAGGCTGTCTGTGGGCATGCACAGGGGGCACAGGCTGACTCGGGCAGGGACAGGTGTTTGAGGGGGACTCAGGCGGTCTAAGGGCACCAGCTGTGTCTGGAGTCACAGGCTGGGTCTCGGGGCACAGACTGTGGGAGGATGCACAAATTTTCTCTAGGAACATGGGCTCTCTCTGGGGGTACAGCCTGGTCTGGGGACACAGAAATGTCTGAGGTCACAGGCTGTGTTGGGGTTCCAGGAACTTTGGAGGTCATAGGATGGTCTGGGGGCACAGGCTGGTCTAGGGGTACAGGTTGGTCTTGGGGCACAGGCTGGGCTAGAAGTATGGGCTAGGCTAGGGGTACAGGCTTTCTCTCTTTCTCCACACAGTTTCTGCCTGGGACAAAAGTCACTCAGGAGCACAGGTTGATGTGGGCATGGGCTCTTTTGAGGATGCAAGCTCTGTCCTTGGGGCTCAGGCACTTTCTGGGGCACAGGCTGTTTCTAGGGCTCAGTTTTCTCAGACGTGGGCCTCTCTCACTGTCTGTGGGGTACAAGCCCTGCACTGGGGCAGTGGCCTCTCACCTCCGGGCAGCTCTGCGGGGCCACAGGTCTCTCTGCCCGCGGGCACGTCGGCCTGCCACAGTCGCTTGGTGCACATCTTCCACAGCCCCAGGTGGGCAGCGTCGCAGACGGCACTGCCGTTGACCTTGTAGGTGTTGAGTTCCACCCAGAACTCGGTGCCCACGGCCAGCACGGCCAGCGTGGCACCCACGGTGGTCAGCAGCAGCACCAGCTTGATCTTCCCCTCCTGCTCTGGGGTCAGCCAGGACTTGTGCTGTGCTTGAGCCCGTCGCCGGCCCGCGGCCGCTCGCCGCCGGTCCTCCTCTTGCATGAAGAAGTTGGACCACATCATCATCTTTACAGCCAGTGACGGGGCTCAGGTGCAAAGGAGGCAGAGCCGAGGAGGGCTCCTGGGGTGGGGAGGGAAGCGCCTGGGGTCTGGAAGGGGGTGAGGGGCTCAGTTTCCACTGGAATATTGAGAGGGAAGATCTGAATCGTCCCTAGAACCTCAAATGGGGGTGTCAAGGTTGCCTCTGGGGCTTGGAAGAGAAAAAACTAGATCTTCTGGCTGGGGAACCCTCTGAGGTTCAGAGGAGGGCCTGGGGTACCCACAGAAACTCAGCAAAGAAGATGGGACCCACAGGAAAGCTGTGGTCCCCTCGAGGCTCAGAACTAGAACCTGGGTGCCCAGGCCAGGGGTCTGGAGGCTCCAGAGGAAGGAGAACTGAGTGGCAGCTGGACCTCTGAGGCCCGGGCTGCTCTGGGATGCCCACTGGAAGGAATCGCCAAAGGGAAACCAGGTTTCCTGAAGGAAGGGATCTGAGCTCCCCACTAGGACTCAGAGTTTGGGGTGCCCAGGACGGGGAGCTGAGGTCCTCTGTGTGTTTGAGAGGAGACGCCTTCTGGCTTCTTTTGGGCTCAGAGTCTGTGGAGGCTGAGAGACAAGTGGCGTTCAGAGAAGGGGGCTGAGGGAAGCCCCCAGGGCTCAGGAGGGGGACCTGGGGTCCCCAGTGGGGCTCAGATGAAGGGGCTGTGGTCCGCACTGCGGCTCAGGAAATGGGGACAAAGTCCCCCCAGGAATCAAAGGACAACTGGGACCCAGAAGAGACTCTGTGTCCCCTGGAGATCACTGGGCTCCCCCTCCCCCGGGCTCCCAGGGCCTGCCAGGCCGGGAAGGCTCCAGGCTCAGCGCCAGCCCCGGCGCCTCCCTCAGGCCTCCCACCCCGGTCTCCTGGGCAGGGACCCCTCTCGCTCTCCTGCCTCGGCGCCGCGCCGACCCCAGCTCCGCGATGCCTCCAATCCGTCGGCTTCTGCACGCCGCGGCCACCGCGCTCGGTCTCCAGGCCGGCCGCTCCGCTCCCTCCGGCCTCGCCCCCATTGCCCTCCCCTCACCCTCCAGGGCTATTTCGGGCTCGACCCGTAAATAACACCCGCACCTGTCGCCTGGCGCCTGTTGCCATAGGGATCCCGGGTATTTTAAGGGGACAAGGCTGGGGAAGACGGAGGCCCCCCAGGGAGGAGGGGCTGGGGGCCAGGTCCTGACCCGGGTGGAGCCTGAGGGGACTTTTATTTCCTTAAGGGGCAAGGGCGTGAACTGAGGGTCGGATCACCGAGGTGGCGGGGGAGGGGGCAGGGCAGGGAACCTGGACTTTTGGTCCGGAGCTGGCCAGGCTGGGAACCTGCACTGATGGGTCTCAGGGAGAAGGAGCTGGGGGCCTGGACTCCCGGGTCCTGAGGAAGGAGGGGGCTGGGGGTCCGGCCTCCGGAGGGGTCTGAGGGAGGAGAGACTGGGGTCCCGGCCTCCCAGGTCTGAGGGAGGAGGGGGCTGGGGGTCCGGCCTCCGGAGGGGTCTGAGGGAGGAGAGACTGGGGTCCCGGCCTCCCAGGTCTGAGGGAGGAGGGGGCTGGGGATCCGGGCTCCGGGATCTGAGGCAGGAGGGTCTGCGGGAGGAGGGGCTTGGAGTCCGACCCTTGGGTCTGAGGGAGGAGGGGCTGGGGGCCTGGACTCCCGGGTCTGCGTGAGGAGGAGCCCAGGGACTCACTTCCTGGGCCTCAGAGTGGAGGGGACTGGAGACAGGGAATCCGGAGGAGCGATCCGGGGACACAGACTCCTGGGTCTGAGGGAAGAGAAGACTGGGGCCCAGATCCCCGGGCCTTGAAGGATGAAAGGACAGATTCATGCTGGGGTCCTCAGCTCCTTGGGGAGGGCTGGGTGTGAGGGGCGTGGGAACCAGAGCCGCAGTCCTCTTCATCGAGTTTATTAGACGGGGCACCCCTGGGGGACCATCCATGCAGTTTCAGCTCCCCCAGGGGCAGGGACGGGGACAGCCGTGTGGAATGGCAGCGGGGCCAGATCTTCACCCCTCCTCCCCTCCCTTAGCCCTTCTGCGGATGGCCCAGGTGGGACCCACCTTTCACCAACTCCTTCTCCGTGGTGGTGGCTCCAGCGGGGCCTGGTGCACCCTGGCTCTCTGCCCACCCTGCTCCGGATGCCCACCGTCCCCTGTGCCGCTTCCATTAGAGCATGCATTGCCCTGGGATGTGACTGTGTGTCTGCTTCCTGCTCTCCCACCAGGGCCCAGGTACACGAGGGTCTCAGCTCAGTGTCCCCAGTATACCCCAGTACCACCCAGCCCAGAGCCGTGTACACAGGAGACCTTAGGAAATGTGCATTAGGTGACATGAAAGAATGAATGAATGAATGAGCAACCGAATGAATGGATGAAGTGAGATGGTGACACACAGACATCCCCTCCCAAGCTAGGGATGGTGCCCGCTGCCTTTCCTCAATGCCCCCATCAGAGCAAACATCCCTTCGAATTCTAATTGGCTGCCCTTCCTGTCTCCTGACCAAGGCAGCTCTCAGATGTCAGGCCCTGGCGCCTGGAAGGCCTCAGGCAATAGTTCTTAAATGAATGAGTGAAATCTGTTCTTGCCCTTCTCTTCACTGGGTCTTTCCAGGCCTCGGGCAGGATCCAGAGGGGAATCCGAGAGTATGCGAGGCGCTGGCAGCAGCATGAGATGGGAGCTGGGCAAAGCAGCCTTGGGTCCGGTCCAGCAGTGCCTTGGTTCCTAGCGATCAGACACACACACGCTCCTACAGCACCTCTGCCCTGCCCCCCTGGAATCCACCCTCCCCTCCTGGCCCTGGGCCTCCCATCTTTCTCAATCTCGCCTGCTGTAACAGCTCCCTCACATCAGAGTGTATTTTTCTGGCTTCCATCTCCCTGTCTGACAGTCTCCCTTTCTCTCCTTTCACAGAAAGGGTAAGAACTCTCTTTGGTATGAAAGTTCTTGTCACTTTCATATCAAAAGGATGGCCTGGTCTCCTTTTCCTTCCACCCTCCCACATTCTTTCTTCCTCCCATGCAGCAGGGCTCCTGTCCCCACCATTGCACTGCAGTGACCTCCCATCAGGGTCAAACCCAATAGTCTTTGGTTCTTTCTCAGTTCTCAGCAGGTTTGGCACCACTGGCCCTTTGCTCCTGGTCTCCGCCCACCTCATGGTCACCCTTTGCCCCCTTCACTACCTCCTCTCCTCTCTCTGATGCAGATGCCCCCTGAGGCTCTGGCCGGGGTCCCTTCTCTGTCCACACTCACCTCATCCAGTCCAGTGGCTTTAAATGTCTCCTATATGCTGTATTTCCAGCCATGACCTCTTCCCCAAGCTCCAGTCTCACGTATCCCTCTGGTTACCTGATACCCCGACTTGGGTTTCTCACAAGCATCCCCACCTTGACATGTCCAGAGGAGGATGCTTGAACCTTCCCACTCAAATCCTGATTCCTTCCCTGGTGGCCTTCTTCCAGGCAACACACATCAGCACCCGCTCAAGTCATGCATGCCCAAATAAAGAATTCCTCTTTCTCTCACTTTGGTTTCGCATTCCGTCTCCTGCTACATCCAGTTCACCACCACTCTGGGCTCTGCCTCCAAAATCTCATGCCTTGTTCTTCCATTTCTCTCCATCCTCACAGCTTCCACGTTGGTCCAGGCCACCCTCAGCCTCAACTAGACAAGGACAACAGCCCCTACCTCCTTACTTCCACTTTTCACTCCTAAATCTATTCTCGGCACGGCAATGGGATTCTCTTGTTTTGTTTTCAAATAAAAATATGATCATGTCATGCCTGTGCTCACACCCTCCAAGGGCTTCCCTTGGAATCTAGAATAAAATTCAAATTTCTTCCCAGGGCTACAAGGCCCTACATGAGCTGTCCCCAGCCTTCGCTTCTGACTTCACCCTGATGTGCTCACCCTTGTTAACCTGCCCGCCGTGGAGCCTCCTTGCAAACCTGTGACTCCTCAGGGCTTTTGTGCTGCTTTTGGTGGCCCGTCCCTTTCCTTCTCATAACCCGCATCTCTGCTCAAAGGTTACCTCTGCAGCCAGGTCTTCTGGAGTCATCTAGAGTCTGTCCTGCCCACTCCCCCCCCAACCCCCCCCACCACTGTCACCACATCCTTAGTTTTTAAAGCACTTCTCCATAACTGGAATTCTCTTAATATTTCTTGTTTGTCTCTCCTGTGAGTTCCAGGAGAGCAAGACCTTGACGGTCTGTTAACCACCACATGCCTCGGGCCTTGATATAATCTAGAAGGGATTGGCACTCACTAAATATTTCTCGAACACTGGAGATGAACAAATGAAATGGATCATTCCTGTACACGATACTTGCTTCTAAGTTGCCACATTTCCTCTGGGCATATCCCTGGATCTTTTTCTGAGGTTCCATCCCTCCATCTCTGTGTATGTGGATATTTTTTGTATCTCTGAGACTTCTCTCTTCTCATTTGTGCATCTTTGTGTCAGTCTCTCTCCTGTCTCTTTTTCTTTCCTCTCTGGATCACCTTCCCACATCTTAGACTTTTCCTCTCTCTCTCTGTGACTCACCTAGCTTTGGCCTCTTCTCTCCTCATCCTTCCTCCCTCCATCTCCCCTCCTCCCCATTTCTCTCTCCCTATCTCCCCTCCTCCCTGTCTCTCTCTCCCCCATCTCCCCTCCTCCCCATCTCTCTCTCCCCCATCTCCCCTCCTCCCCATCTCTCTCTCCCCCATCTCCCCTCCTCCCCATCTCTCCCTTCTGCCCATCCTCCACCTCTTTCTTCCTTCCAATTTGGCATTTGGACCCCAGAATCCACCAACTCCTAACCAGTTCTGTCCTCCTCCACTACAGAACCCCCTCCCCCACCAAATTTGTCTCTTTTCACTCCACCTCTCTCTGTCCCTCTTCTCTCCATTTTGTCATCCCTACACTAAGTTCTCCTCTGTCTTGCTCATTTGTATGCCTTTCCAGGCATTTTCCAGCATTTCTCTCTGACGCTGCCCCCTTGCAATTCCTCTCTGGTGCCCTGCCCTCCAGTCTCTCTCCCTTCCTAGTCCACATGGGCCCCAGAAGGAAATTCCCAACACCCAGTTCTGATCCCGTCCCACCTCCCATTCCACCCCTTTCTGCTGCTCCATCTTATGAAGAGAGAAGCTGGTGAAGCCCCTGGCAGTGTGGCACCATCAACTAACCACTTCTCTCCTGTCTGTGTCCCAGTCCATCTTCCCACCAGATTGGGAGCCCCTGGAGAAGGTGGGGGGGGAGGGGCAGGATCTGAAGCATCTCCCACTCCCAGCATCAAGAGTGCAGGGCCTGACACACAGGAGACCTTGGGAAATATTTGCTGAGCAAATGAAGGGAAGCCCACTAAGCATGGTCCTCAGTGTTCTTCAAATCCATCCCCGCCCGCCCCCCCCCCCCCCCCCCCCCCCCCCCGGGGTCCTTCTTCTCGGAGGAGCCGCTGCCCCGCGGTGGGGCGGCCCGTCGTCGCCGGCCGTGAGGTTGGTGGTGTTACAGATGAAGGCGCGCGTGTAGAGCCAGTAGTCGGTGCTGATGGCGATGGTCATGAGGCCGAAGGCGGCGAAGGCGCCCACCGTCGTCAGCAGCACCTGCACCCCTTCTCGCACCAAAGGCCCCTCTCTTCGTTCCAGCGTTTCAGCGACTCCAGTTTGACCACGGGCAGCCGGGGGGCCGTGGGCCACCACCGGGGCAGCGGGGGCGGGGCCGTGCCGGCGGTGGGGTGGGCACAGCGCAGGCAGAAGTCGGGGGCCCGGGCCGGCGGGCTGGGGAGGGGGCGGCGAGGAGGAGGCTCGGCGGGGAGCCGGTCAGAGAGCGGCCATGGTCGCCAGCTGGTGGAGGGCAGGGAGTGAGGTAGAGAATTAGACAAGAAGGCACCAGTACCTCCCCGATCTCCCCACTGCCCCCCACCCCCACTTCAGAAGAACCCGCTGTTTCCTCGGTTGAAGGAACTCCTTCCACTCTGGTCCTCACTGCCTCCCTGTCTCTGAAAAAAATCTCCCTCTGCCAGAGAAGTCTTTCCACTAACGCCGCTCCAGAA